TTTAAGAAAAGAAAGTGTGGACCGTTATCATACACAAAGCAATAGCGGGATCAGTACGAAGTCAATTGAAATCCACAACAAAATTACCAGATTTTACTGCCAACGACAACAAGGTGAACATGCCTGAGATGATGTGCCCGTGGTATATTGTACCTGCGTTTTCTAGCACACTCGACTGGGATTTCACAAGTAACGCTCACATGCATTACCTTCGCCCTTTTCCTTCTACTTACATAGTGGCTAAATTTATGCCTACAATACAGTTGTTTCTGCATGCTTAATATAGCAACTTGTACGTGCGGACTTACCTATAGTAATCAATATGGGGCTTCACTGTGCGCATTTCGATCTCTGCTGTTATCTTTTCCGCATCGGTTCATAGCCACGTAAATCAACAAATATTCAAGAATAGCAAGCGTGGATTGTTGTTATGCACAAAGTAAAGGAGGGATTACTACGAAGCCAAGTGAAATCCACACCAAAATAATCAGACACTGCTGCCCACAACAACAAGGAGTACACGCCATTTTCAGTCAGATACTTCGCTGTAATCCCACCCGCGACCGAAAGATGAGTTGCCTTGGCTAAAGAGGACGGCGACAGCGGCATAGCGTGGTCTATACTGCTGCGTGGCTGCGCCTCGTAAGTCTACAACAAAATTTTACAACTGTAATAACGAATATCATTGTTACCAAAAGGACTTAAGGACAGCAGAGTGACAATAACTCTCAAAAAAGAAACAACAACTTTGAGTTTAAATTTACAAGACATGTTTCGACATTCTCATGTCATCTTCAGTTGCAAATGAGCATTTAACGGTTGTACATTTGAATTTATATTAAGGTACGTTACAAATTACGTGACAGGGCTTACGTTACATTTGAATGTTAAAAACGCGAAAAAATGTAAATAGCGCGCGCTTGACTAGATCAAAAAAATAAATAAATAAATAGAATTGTCTCTTTCCTTTTAGTTCCTTGGTCTTTTAATTTATTATTGTTATTATTTTATTTTTATTTTTTTATCTAATCAAGCGCGCGCTATTTACATTTTTCGCGTTTTTAACATTCAAATGTAACGTAAGCCCTGACGCGTAATTTGTAACGTACCTTAATATAAATTCAAATGTACAACCGTTAAATGCTCATTTGCAACTGAAGATGACATGAGAATGTCGAAACATGTCTTGTAAATTTAAACTCAAAGTTGTTGTTTCTTTTTTGAGAGTTATTGTCACTCTGCTGTCTTTACGTCCTTTTGGTAA